GTCAATTCCGTCAATTCCTGAAGGTTTGCGCTCTCACGAGCAATCCGCAACCTCCTAATAGCCTTTGCTTCCTTTTAAACTCTTGAACAAAGTGGCTAATAACCATTCTATTATCAAACTCCTCTCCTTCAAGATGAGTGACTCCCGTAGTAGCTTTGACCTCAAAATATTGTCTTCGATGAAGAGGATAGGCACGTCGGAAGTACCACCTCCAAGATCAAAAAATAAGAACATTCTTCTCACCTGTGTTGCTGGAATTTTTATGAACCTGAGCAATGGCGGCAGCTGTTGGCTCATTGATAATACGCATTACATTTAACAGGGACATGCTTGAATCTCCGGCCAACCAATCTCTTGCCATCTACAACCAGAAGCAAGTGTTTTCGTCCTAATCGAGGGCTCATAAGATGCTTCATATAAATGCTCAAAACATGGAATTGTTCAAATGCTGACAATAAAAACTTATACTCAACCCCACAAATATGGAAAATTATGTTTTTGATTCCATTGAAAAAAGAGAATGAAAACACACCACATACTCCCTCTGATCCTTATTACTAGTAATTTTGATTTGTCCTAAATTTCACTTACTATGTTATTTCAATTGAAAATAAAATCTCTAAAATGTATCTTATACTTATTGTGTTCTTCCAATTATTAACAAATATTTTAAGGATTTTTTTTAATCCCAAAACAAACTAAATGAAACTTAAAACAAATCAAAATAATTTATAATAAGAATCCGAGCGAGTACTTATTGCCATTTTTTTTTCAATATACAGATTGGAAAAATAGTGAAAAGCATGAACTTGAAATTGGGGACTGTTGTGTAATTTGATAGAGAAACTAGGTGAAGATGATCAGATCATGACTGTAAGGTTGAAAAATTATTTGACAGGATCGTAAGGTAAGAATGTTGTCTAAGGTGAAACACTTGGAAAATGTTGTGCTCTTCAATTAACCAATTATAATATAGGGATCCTAGGCACACCTAGAAGTGTGAGTCTCACGGGACCCAAAAATGGACATCTCTCAATATTTACAACAATCCTATTTAATTCCCCATTTTATGCAATTTTTAGAATTTCAAATCCTACCATTTCCTCCTAATTTTCAGCGATTAATCATATCTATCTTCCACCCCATTCATCACAATCCGTCTCAAAAAAAAAAAAACTAAAAAACTAAATTTTCTCTACAGCGATTTGGCCAGAAAACCTCTCGTTGGCTGGGTTTTTTAGGACGGAATCAGATTGTACATCAAATCCAGTGGAAATTGTGAAAATATACTCTGTTCAAGATGCGAGTTAAGGTAATACATGAACAAAATTCATTCACGCAGAAACCACCGGTTGAGGATTCTGAACCAAACAGAAGCAGTTCAGAAAGTGAAGATGAACGAAGGTAATACTATTGATCTTTTGGACTATTGATGCGTTTTTTGATGGGTTTTGTAGATTTACTGTATGTGCATTCGATTATGCATATCTATTCATCAAGTTTAAAGATTTCTTCATATTCAAGCATTGGTGTTTTCTTTTTTTTGTTTTGGTTTTGTAGATGTAAGGTGTATTCAATCGATTGACGATGTTTGTTCATCAATTTTAGAGTTTTGTTCTTCTATTGGATGTTGTTTTTCTGGAAAATTGGTAGATTTTTGTATTGTTCATCAGGTTGGTATAGTTATTCATTGTTGAAATTGTCAGACTCATCGTTTACCATAACTATGTAGCATTATTTTTTTGGTAAATTACTAGATCTTTGTATTATTCATTAGTTTGGTATAATTATTCATTGTTGAAATTGTCGGATTCATCGTTTACTATAACTATGTAGTATTGTTTTTTTAGTAAATTACTAGATGTTTGTATTATTCATTAATTTGGTATAATTATTCATTGTTGAAATTGCCGTAGCCATCGTTTATCACAACTATGTGTTATTTATTCGTTAAATTTGTTCATCAATTTGGTAATTAGTATTCATCATAATTTGTTGTAAAATTTGTTTTGGGATAATCATCCGTAAAGGGATGTTATTCAGTGGGTCAGCAATTATTATTAATTTTCCAATTTCATAATCCCAGATTATTCATCTTCTATATACATTTATTCATTAATTCATCGAACAGTCATTCATTAAGTTTGTGATACATCTGATACGTTGATATTCAGAAACACACTAAAAATTCATCACATCTGACAAGTTATTCTTGGAATTTGTAAACATATTGTAGCATGAGCGAAGAATATCAGACAGAATCTGAAAGAAGCATGACCGAAGAACAACAATCAGAAGCCGAAAGAAGTAGGATATCCGAATCTGCAAAAAGACCAAATCACAATAAGTGTAGACATTGATATAGAGGATTATTTAGCAGTTTCGTAAACTAGTATTATTTTTTTGATAAATTAGTAGATCTTTGTATTATTTATCAGTTTGGTATAATTATTCATTGTTGAAATTGCCGTATTCATCAGTTTGCTATAATTATTCATTGTTGAAATTGCCGTATTCATCATTTTGGTATAATTATTCATTGTTGTATGTCATCTACCTCATGAATTTTTACTCCTTGTTAGCTACATGCAAATTGTTTCCAATAAACAACACAAGATTTGGACATTTTCCAATCTTTGAACCTTTTTATTGAAAAAAAATGCGCTAGAATTATAAGTAGCAAAAGCCTCTTCCTCAGAGTTGAAACATCGTCCAATTATTCATCAATAAGAACTTGTTATTCATTAATTAACGTAAGATATTCATCATAAAAATGTAATAAGATAATACACCATCGGTCAGAAGACAACAATGAAATTCCTGTTCATCATTAACCATATAATACGCATTACCTTACGCATGTATATTCGTCAATAAAACGAATACATTCTACATCAATCATCTTTCAATAATTCCATAACATTATTCATTGTCTAAACGTTGGTTATTCATTACTAGGAAAATACACATTGATTCTCCATATTCATAAGTCTCAATGATTACCATAGTCAATTTTACTAAAATAAAATCCATCGTTATAAAAAAATTATCTCATAAAATAAAATAATATAAAAGCTAACATGATAAGCAAAAAAAAAATTTATAAATTAAACGTGCATAAAAAAAGGGATAAGATCAAGGAGTTAAATGCCAAAAAAAGGGGATAAAATTATGGGGATTAAATGCCAAAAAAATGGGGATAAATTTTGATGATTAAATGCGCGTATGAGAACTAAAAATCCGGACTAAAATAATCACTTTTTTCTCTTAAGTTTGTGATACACGCACTGCCTGAGTACACCTTGCAAGGTGTACCTAGGATCTTAATATTATTTGCCCCAATTAACGACAATAATCTTAAGATTTTACATGAGCTAGTTACTTTGATAAATAATCTCTCTCTCTTTTTTTTTTTTGGTTGAAAAAGATATGATATCTTTGACTCATCATTAGTCTTCAAGTCAATGCTCTTTCTGTCATCGTCATCCTCCTGAATATAATAAACAAAAAGTTCAATTTTCACATCAAACAATTTCAAGATCAACTTAATTAAAATTAGTTTTTTTTTTTCGTAGTTATCCCTTTTAAATACTAACAATGTAGTACATAGTTATGTATATAAGTGACGAAGCCTGGAATAGTATCGTCGGCTTGACAGCGGAACTCCGACTAGGGTTTCGTACAAACGAGGGCCTCAGGGGTCTCCCGAGGGTAGACAATGCGAGGCTTAAGTCAGTAAAAAGGGTTTTAGGAACGTATGTGAGTAGTATTTTGTGCTAGAGATAGCGTACCCATATTGTGGTGTGGTCAACCCTATTTATAGACATAAAGTTACCTTGAAGGATGCTAAATCATGCTAGAGTTCATGTTCTAGAACCGCCTTTCATTAGGTCGGTTGGACCATAATTGACGAATGCGGCGGTTCAGTAGCCCTTGGTAGATATGGACTCATCAAGTACCCCTGTCAAGTGTTAGTTATATGAAATAAACAAGACTTGACACAAAATGAATAATACCTGGACTCAGCCCGAAGGGACTATGCAACCCAAGGTTTGAGGCCCACGATCGAACTTTTCAAATCCATTCTCATGGGTCAGGATTCGACCCGAGAGGGAGAACCGATGGAAATTCTGCCCAAACTGAAGCAATCGTGTCCCATTATAACGCATGCTTCCCAAACGACGGCTTGGTAGTGATTATGTCTCTCCCTTGAAAGTAGGCGAATCGTCAAATTGTGGGGGGATTAACTTCCTTTATATAGACTACGACAAATTAAACCCATTTACTTAACTCATCTCCGAAACTCTTTACCCAAAACTATCCCAAAGCTTCACTTTGTTATTATCACCGGAATCTCAAACATCGGTGATATATTCGTCAACAAAACTACTACTGTTGGAAGAAATTAAACCGATAATACAATCCAAGGGTTTATTGAATCCCTTAGCTGCCCCTGTGTAGTCGCCGTCGGTGTCACGTCATTTACTACACTTGCCGGAGACTATCACCACACTGGGAGGTTACAATTCGAAGGGCAAGTGGTCTTTTCCGATAGTAAGTTTTTCCAACTCATGTCTACTTTTTCAATTCCTTTAGAATTCCAGTTCTGATTTAGATCTGAGATATTGTGGTAGATATGGCTAGTAAGCCAGATCTAAAGACTGTAGATGACTTTGTCTCGACCATTAACTCGCCTGATAGAATTAAGGATATCAAAACGAGATACGACCTTCCCGTAGTTAGAAATGAGAGCCCCCTTAGAAACCGAGAGAGCGAATACTCCTCCAGACGGAAAAATCACGATATATGACCGCTTTGTGTATCTAGGGTTCAGATTTCCCCTTTTTCCTTTGTTAGAGGAGATCTTCCAACACTATAAGATGCCTTTGGCCCAATTCACCCCAAATTTGATAATCTACGTTCTCGGCTTTGTGAAAATATGTCAACGAGTTAAGGTGACACGTTGTCTGTTTCTTTGGAGATATTTCTTTCGAGTATCCATGTCCTCGACATCATTTCAAGACTGGTACATCGTGAAGAGGAACCTCAACTCGGGCGCCAAGAAGATAGTAGAGGCGTATGGTGGTTCTGCGATATGGAAACCAAACTTTCTATATGTCAAGGCGCGTGAGAAGTATTTTGTTGCCTGGAATTATCAAGAAACCCATGGATTTGAGGTGATAAAGGATGATTGGATGGACGGGGATAAAGAGAAAATCAAGGAGTTTGACAAGGACTTAATGAAATTTGAGAAGTATTCCAAAATAGTTAAATGGGAAGAAGTTGTGCAGCATTTCATTCCTGCTATTCCCACGGAGGAGAAAGAAGTTGAGATCACTCTCGAGACCCCCGTAGAAGAGAAGAAAGGTACTAATCTCGTTTTATTACTTTTTCTGTCTTTAGGTTATGTCATCGAGCAATGCTGTTTCTCGACTGTATGGTGATGAAGACCCCTTTCCTATTGTAAATTCAGATGACGAGGTCTCGATCACTGCAGTTGCTGGTCAGAAGAAGAAAAAGAAGTGAATCGTAAAAGGCCTCGAGAAGGAGAAAAGAAAGAAAGCTAAGGCCGATGTGCCCCCGACAGAATCAACAGCACAGGGAGAAAAGATAGTTCCCCCAGCCATCGAAAGACCAGCATTCCCCAAGTGGAGGCGGAGCCGAGCAATAAATTACCTGTCATGGACACAGGAAAGAACCCTCTCGAGGAAGAGGCAGTCGTTTTGCCCTCTCACCTGTTCAAGGGAGGTCTGACTGTAGCAGTTCACACGTTTGGCGATCTCCAACTATCGAGTGTCCCATCTTGGAAGAGTTTGCAGCCCAACTAAATGAGACTGTCAGTGTGAGGTTGCTAAGTATTCCATATCACTTGGTGAATACCGTTGTAAATTAATGACAAGCAAGATTCACTCTATCCTGTAAATTTTTGTAGATGAGTGCAGCCTCGATGGCCCACCTGATGCACCTAAGTAAACTGAGGAACGAATTGGTGCAAGCTTGGGCTAAGAGAGACCAAGCTTTGATCGAGAAGGTTACTCTCGAGGAGAAGTCTCAGAAGATTGAAGCCATGGAGCAAGAGTTGGCTTCTGTGCAGGCTAGGTACAATGAGCTTGCCGAAAAGCTTAAAGGCTTTGCCAGTCTACATATCTCGAGGAAAGAATTGGACAAATGGTGTGCCGCCTTCTAGTTCAGGATATCAACAAATGGGATTGTAGCAGCAATTGAGGAAGTTAACATTGCTGCCACCAAGTATGGTGCCCATAAAGTAGCAGTTGCAGGCCTCGAGAGGCTTAATGGGGACAGGCCCATCAAGGCCAAGTGGCTCAAGCAGTTCCTGCGGGAAAGCCCAAAGAAGACCATGCACGAGGCGCTGGAAAATGTCCTTACAAAGCTCAACATCGAGCAGCTACCCCTATTAAAGTCTTTATGTGGAGCTCTCGCCAAGGTGCGTACTCCCAAGGAAATCACCACGTTCCCTGGTGATCTTGCAACAGTATTGTCTAAGGGCCCAAGCGAAGAAGAGCCAGTCCCTGAGGTGCTAGATGAGTACATGGGTATTGAGCTCGAGGACGCTGATGACGAGGCCTCAGAGGAAGACGTGGTTGACACTGGCCATTCAGGAGCCCAGAAGAATGCTAGGGAGGCATCTCAAAGTCTTCCAAAGGACAACTCTTCTGGCCAAGCTGCTGTATGAATCCTTCCTCTTGTAATTGTTGATAGGAGTTTGAACAATTATTCCTGTAGTCAACTTTTGTTTTAATCTTGCACTTATTCCATTGCTGCACTTTTGCTTTCTCGCAATTTGATATTAGCCCCTATATTTTTTTCCTGGAACAAGATAATTGGTCTATTCACTGAATTCACCTTATGGTCTTATCTGAGGAACAATCAAGGCAGTATCCTCTGTACTTGGTGATCAGAATTATTATGAGGAGCCATGCAGATATCCACGGAATCGAGACTATAATGAATTTAGAGGTAGACCTTCTTGATTCAATGCGGGCACACAATGTAAAGGTTAATTAGCACACTATTAATGACATTAAAGGGCTTCACGAAGAGATGCAACGGCAAGACATCCAGAAAGTTAAAGATTATAGCGACTCTTTGACCTTCGAGACTAACACTCATGATGAACTGGTTACCTTACAAAAGGAAAACGCTCAGCTGAGAGAGAACCGAAAGGTAATTGTGTCGCCATGGTTTCTCGAGAAGCATCATGTACTTGCTCGTGTATAGCACATGCTCTCGATAAGGACTCGCCGATTTATTTCAACAATGGACATGCTAAAGGAAAGGACCCGCGATATTGAGCTTCTAATGGAATACATCAACGAGCTCTAGAACTTATTGCTGGATCACTACATTGACTTTCGAAGCTTCCAGAAGCCAGAGGAGATAGTCGATCCCCAGACCAGGAGTTCTTGAGAAGAATTTCTTTTGAGGTTGCATGCCCAGGGTGAGGAGATCGTAGATCTCAAGGACAAACTCAACCAATGTGTAAACCTCCTTAGCCAGCATGGGTTTAGAGGCATGATACATCCTTCTCCTGATAATCCGATAAGAGAAGTTCTGGTAATAGTGTAGGAAAACATGTATGTTCTCTACAACCTCGCACAGTTGTGTGAAGGTAGTGAATATAAGTTTGTTTTGTGAAACTTGAGTTTTTAATTTATATAGCGCTATTTGGCCGGTTATAAAGTAAACAGGTCTCTCAAGGGAGCTGGGTATGATTTCCTCGACTTAATACCGTAATCTGCAGTGGGTACCAGGGAGGTTCCTCGGTTTTTGTCCGGATGTTGAATACATGGCTCTAAATGAGGATGGCCCTAAGGAGGGAGTCCATCTCGAGGACTAGTCATAATATAATGTCAACAATATAAAAAAATATGCAATGACTTTTATTGAATAATTTCTCGAGGACCCGGGTTAGCATTACATATGAAAAAGTAAAGACAACAAGGCAAATAAAGCAAACAAAGCAAACAACCTAAACTAGCAAGTTGCAGATAACGACTTAAATTTAGAACCTATGGAGGTTCTGAATGTTCCACCATCGAGGTAGGATGGTTCCACTATTATCCATGGCTTGTAAGTGGTAACTGTCCGCCGGAGAGGCTTGAATGAACTTGTAAGTTCCTTCCCAATTTGTAGTGAGTTTTCCAAGAATCTCGACTCGACTAGCTTCTTTTTTCCTGAGCACAAGATCCCCCACGGCAAGATCGGTTGTTTTGACACGTTTATTGTAGTGTTTCCTGAGGATCTCCTTGTACTTTGCTTCCTTGATCCTGATGGCATCCCGTCACTACTCGAGCAGGTCGAAATTCAGCCTCATATCATCATCATTAGTGCTCTCTAGAAAGTTGATTGTTCGAGTACTTGCTAGGCCTATTTTAACTGGGAGAACCGCATCCATGCAATAAACCAAACTGTAGGGAGTTTCATCTGTCGATGAGTGAGCGGTAGTGCTGTACAACCATAGGATGTGAGAAAGTTCTTCAGCCCAAGCTCCTTTGGCATCGTATAGCCTGGTCTTGATCCCATGCAAGATGGTCCTGGTAATTGATTCTGCTTCGCCATTAGCCTGAGGGTGAGCTACACTCGAGATTTGGCGCTCAATTTGCATTTATTCGCACCATGATTTGAAGGTTTTACTCTCGAATTAGGTCCCATTGTCGGAAACAATGACCCTAGGGACTCCAAAGCGACAGACAATATTTTGTCAGAAAAAATCCAACACCTTCCTTCCTGATATTGAGGCCACCGGTTTAGCTTCTACCCACTTAGTGAAGTAGTCTACTGCTATGATTATCCATCTTGCTCCTCCTGCCCCTTTTAGATGAAAAGGGCCGATGATGTCAGTGCCCCATTGATAGAATGGCCAAGGGCTTTGAATGGTGACCATCTCGTGCTGCGGTTGTCGAGTAATGGGAGAAAAACGCTGACATTTATCACACTTTTGTACAAACTGGTATACATCTTTAAAGAACGTGGGCCAAATGTGTCTGGAGCATAGTACTTTCTTAGCGAGTGCTCTCTCTCCCATATGTTCTCCACATGATACCCTCATGTATCTCCTCGAGGACATAAGCTGCTTGTTTCGGTCCAATGCATCACAGTACGGGTAGCAGGTATCCGTGCTTATATAACACCCTGTCTCTCAAAGTGTATTTAATTACTTTCAACTAGAGTGCTCGAGCATCCGATTTGCTACTTGGCAACGTCAAATTTGTTAGATATTGGATAAATAGAGTCATCTATGTGTCACCAGCTTCGGTAATGGCCATTACCGCAACCTTCATCAATACTAGGTTCGAGGAGGATCTTGACCCAAACCATGTGGCTGAGATGTGCAAAGTTTGAGGAAGCCAACTTGCTTAATGCATCCACTCTTTCATTTCTTGATCGAACAATGTGAGAAATAACACACTCCTTGAACTTATCTTTTAACTCGAGGGCTTTCTCGAGGTATTGTTTGAGCTGCTCGTCATTTGCCGTATAATCACCCAGGAATTGATTGACTACCACCTGAGAGTCGCTAAAAACTTGAATCTTTTGAACCCTAAGCTTTAGTGCCAAATCCAATCGTGCTATTAATGCTTCATACTCAGCCACGTTTTTAGTAGCTAGGAAGCCGAATCTCAATGTGTAGGTATAATTCACATCGTACTCTTTCATGTTCTCGATCTCAGGATCAGTGGATGGTTTCGCTAGTATGATACCGGCTCCTCCCCCCTTGTCACAACAAGAGCTGTCGACGTATAACGTCCAGACTCGAGGGTCGGAATTGACGCGGGTAATAGGGTGGGTTTTAGGCTTCGCGGCTTCCGGGGTATCAATGGTTCGAGGCATCTCTACACGGAAGTCTGTGAAGGCTTGACCCTTAATTGGTTCTTTACATGTAATCAGTATGGTGTTCCCCCAACTCGATGGCCCACTTCATCATTCTGCCAGAAGATTCTGGCTTGAGAAGGACTTGCTGAATGGGTTGTTCTGTTAATACTCCGATTGGACGTGCTTGGAAGTATGGGCACAGGCGTCAAGCAGCCTAGACTAAGCTCAAACAAGTCTTTCCATGGGGGTGTATCGTGTCTGTGCCCCTTGTAACACTTACTGACAAAGTGAATAGGAATTTCCTTACCATCTTTGTTTTGGATAAGGACGGCTGATATGGCTCTTTCTCGTGCCGCAAGGTACACATATAGGGTTTCCCCCGGTTCTGGTTTGGCCAATATAGGCGGTTGTCTAAGATTCTCCTTTAGCTCCTGGAAGGCTTTTTGGCATTCCTCATTTCATTCAAACTTTCTGCTTTTGCAAAGTATATGAAAGAATGGGAGGCTCGTTTCTGTGGCTCGAGAAAGGAATCTGTTTGAGGAAGCCAAGGGTTCCATGAGTTTCTGAACTTTTTAACATTCTTCGGGGCTTCCATGGCCAGGATTACCCCGATTTTTGCCGGATCAATACTAATTCCAACCTTAGACATGTGGTATCCTAGGAACTTAACCGATCCTACGCAAACGGCACATTTTTTCGGGTTAAGTTTCATATTAATCTTGCGGATAATCGAGAAAATCTCGCGCATATCCTTGACTACTTGCTCATCTTCATTACTCTTGATCACCATGTCATCCACATATGTCTCGATGTTTCGGCCGATCTGGTCATTGGATGCTCGATTGACGAGGTGGTGATAGGTTGCACCAGCGTTTTCAATCCAAAAGGCATCTTGTCATAACAATACACCCCGATCTCGGTGATGTAGGCTGTCTTCTCCACATCTTCTTGTGCCATAAGGATTTGATGGTATCCTTTATAGGCATCAAGGAAACTGAGTGTCCTATATCCCGTGATACCCTCGACCATCTGATCTATGACTGGTAAGGGATAACAGTCCTTGGGACAGTGTTTGTTGAGTTCCTTGTAATCTTGGCACATGCGCCAAGAGTTGTCAGGCTTCTGTACCAGGATTAGATTAGCCAACCAGGTTGGCCAAAGAACTTCTCGGAGGATATTAGCGCGAACTGGCTTCAACATTTCTTCATTGATGACATCATTGCGGTCTCGAGCGAATATTCTGTTCTTCTGTTGCACAGGTTTAACACTGAGATCGACATTCAACCTGTGTTCAATAACATCTCGTGGCACCCCTGTCATATCTGTGGGTGACCAAGCGAATATATCACGGAACTCGCGTAGCAAGGCAACTACCTCAGCCAGCAACGTTCCTTGAAGGGATATCCCTATCTTGATGGTCTTGGAGGGATCCTTCTCATTAAGAACAAGCTCCTTTGTTTTGCTGCTAAGTGGTGGTAGGCTGTTAATGCCATGATCCACCGATTATGAGTGTAACGTTGTTTGTTGGATTGAGTAGGACCCCAACATAGTAGTGCTTAAGTTAGACTCCACGGTCTTCTTCCCCATCATGACAGCTATGAGTAAACACTCTCGAGAACTGCATTGGCATCATTGCACCACTCCAACTCCGTATTCGGTTGGAAATTTCAATACCAGGTGATAAGGAGACGAAATTGCTGGAGCTTCACAAATCCAAGGTCGTCCTGGAATCAAATTGAATGGCGAGGGTGCATTGATTAAGGCAAAATCCATGGTTAGAGTAACCATCCTAGGATGCGTCCCTACCGTGATGGGAAGACTTATGACTCCCGTCGGGGTAATGGTATGGCCCAAGAAGCC